GGGCAGCAGAGCTTGTGTCCACATGGCAGCAGCTGCCTGGAGCTCTGGGTTTCTCAATGCTCTGCTGCACACGGCCAATACATTGTCACTACCTCTCTGCAAGGACAATGCTGTGGACCAGTTTTTCTGTGAAGTCCCCCAGATCCTCAAGCTGTCGTGCTCAGATGCCTACCTCAGGGAAGTTGGGCTTCTTGGTTTTACCCTTAGTTTAATATTTGGGTGTTTTATTTTCATTGTGCTGTCCTATGTGCAGATCTTCAGGGCTGTGCTGAGGATCCCCTCTGAGCAGGGACGGCACAAAGCCTTTTCCACATGCCTCCCTCACCTGGCTGTGGTCTCCCTGTATCTCAGCACTGGCATGTTTGCCTACCTGAAGCCTTTTTCTATCTCATCCCCATCTCTGGATTTGTTGATGGCAGTTCTGTACTCAGTGTTGCCGCCAGCAGTGAACCCCCTCGTCTACAGCATGAGGAACCAGGACCTTAAGGATTGCCTAAGGATAAAGTGTAAAGAAGTGCTACTTCCAGTGTATAACACGGGTCCTCAAACTACGGCCCACAGGCCGGCTAAGGCCCCCCCAGGGGCGGATAAGGCCCCCCCAGGGTCCTCAATCCGTCCTGCCGGTATTTACAGAACTCGCCGCCCCCCCCAGCCACAGATGACTTCCTGCCACTTAATCCAGCACCTGCTGGGACTGGGCTGGAACCAACAGCTCGTCCTCGACATGCCCCCCTGCGACAGGCGAGAGGCCAAATGAAACATCTGAAATCTCCAGTCAGATCCAGACTAACTGATGAACACTGGCATCACTTGCTATGACTAGCAGTGACAAACATGGAACCTAACATTGACCATCTCATTAGCCAAAAGCAGGCCCATAGTTCACATTGAAATATTATTTGTTTTTGTTGATTACAATTGTTCTTCATTTTAAATATTGCATTCTTTTTCCTGTTTTTTGTGCACTACTACAAATAAAATATGTTCAGTGTGCAGAGGAATTCGTTCTTTTTTTCCAAACTATAGTCCGGCCCCTGACAGTATCTGAGGGACAGTGAACCGGCCCCCTGTTTAAAAAGTTTGAGGACCCCTGGTGTATAAGGTGCCCATTGTCCCATTTGGGCTCTCACTGTATCTCAGGAAATGCTGGGACTAAGTTCTCTTGATGTGTCTTTATTTTTCCTTAGTGACTGTGAGGTTTTTTTGCATTTTGTTTTTTGTTTGCACCCTTTAATATTACTATTCTTTGACTTCTATCTGTTTTCTTCTTAAACAATAAATTTCATGTACATATGGATCCAGGGTCCCTGTTTAGACAAAATCGATAAAGAAACCAGCTGAATGTTATTTATCTCAGCTGCCATCTCTTCACATCTCCTCTGGAGCTGGGGGAGCAGCCCCAGCAGGCAGGATGGGTTCAGGAGGCAAATGCCCAGTTGCCATGAAGGCCTGTGGAAGTATGATGTAGTCAGAGGCACACACACCTCCATGTTTCACCTCTCTGAATTTCCTCCACAACTGTTGAAGTGCCTAAAAGTGCCTTGAGCAATCTCATCTAGGCAACACTGCCTGGAGCAGGAGAGTTGGGCAAGATGACTGTGGGGGGTTAAACTTGACTGGTCATCGGGTGCCCACCAATCCCCTGTCTCACTCCCCCTCCTCAGCAGGACAAGGGAGAAAAAACTCCTGGGTCAAGATAAAGGCAGCCTTGATGCGGTGTGAGCACTGCTCAGTAACAGCCAAACCATTGGTGTGTGATCAACATGGTTTCAGGCAGGATTGTGAAGCACAGCAGTATCTGGGCTGCTGTGGGGAAAGTGAACTCCATCCCAGCCAGAGCCGGGACAACAGTGCTCAGGGGTCTCTTCCCACCTGCATTACTCTCGGATTCAATTGATCTTTCCCTGGGAGAGCTCTCTGAATACAAAACAGACAGAGGAAGAAGAAAAAAGGGAGAGGCAGAAGCAGAGTTATAAAATGCAGCAGGATAAATCCAGTATTCCTCTGAGGAACTTTTCTCCACTCAAACTGCTGGTAGGAAATCTCTCAGATAAATTTAATGAAACAAGCTTACATTTATCTGCTCAGGTTCTGGGCCCCAAGGAGGGTGATGGTTGGGTATGGTATCATGTGGTCAATAGTTTCTCAGGAACTCTTAATCAGGTAGGGAGCCAATGGCTGTGAAGGGGGCTGTGAGGTCACTTCTTTCTGAAATAGCTGACAGGTCAGCCCTTGACTCATGACCAGAACATGTGCTTTAAAGCTCAGCTCACATCTGCCAGCATCTCTGACAGGTCAGCAGAAGGCACCTGACTGGCACATTGACCATGAGATCCTCTCTGCCCGAGCAAGCAGGCTCACTCCTGGAAGGTGACTTGGAATTTGTTTGTCATATCTCTTCTGCCTGAGCCCATCATGGGACAGCAGCAGCCACAGAGCTTGTGTCTCTCTGAGAAGCTGAAATGCTATCAGCCTTGGGAGATCATGATGAGATTACTTCTATCTGGTCAGGTGGAAGGCCACAAAGAAGGCTGACGGGTTGGGATACCTGCTTGAAGAGCCATTTCCCAGATGCTGGAGCTTTCCTTGGAGGTAGTAAACAGCATGAGAGAAACTCTGCCACACAGTGCAGCTTGGAAGGTGGAAAGTGGACATGAAGAGGAAGAAATGTCACTCCAAGGGTAGTGCTGTGGTACAACAAGCCATCCAGAAGGAGTCTGAGATCAGCCCATGTCTTTTTGTTTCAAGGAAGAGAGTGTGAGGGTGTACATGTAGAATTCTCTGATTTATGTTGATCCCAGGTCTCTCCTAACTAGACGTGGACAGGCAGGAAAAGCTGTCCCTTGAGGTCTGACACAGTGTAGACACCCTTACTCCTCACTTCCCCAGTCTCATCATGTCTCTTATCAGCCACCTGGGACTTGCATCACTTTTCCTTACATCAGCTCCTTTGTACCAACTCCCACCTGCTTTCCTTTGAGAATTGGCTGCACAAAGACAAAGAGGGAATTTTCTTTTTTAACAAACAAAATAAACCGGATCAGATTCACCGTTAAAATAAAACACACTCCTCAACTCTATGCCAATTAGAAGCGGCCACCAATGAAGGTCACATTCCACAGGGCATAACCATGCAAGAGATGTTTCAGACTGACAGGAAATTCTAAAAGAAACACAATTAAAGATATAGCTAAAAGCGTAATTAAACTGACCATTGAGAGATAAGGAAGCTTTAAATCCCTGAATCTCAAAGCAGCAACTGGATTGTTGAGATGTGTCTGAGTGATAAAAGAGTAAGGGGAATGGAAGTCTCGAGAGCAATTGCAAGGGCTTCTGTGCAGGCAGGCTGCTGGAAAGGTGACTTCAGACACTGTCAGTTTAGTTAGGACAGGTGGAAATAGGTGACAGGTGAGGGAGATTAAATGCACAGCCTAATGGAGAGAGCACTGACATTGCAAAGACAGTGGAAGGGCAATATTCTCTTCTTGCTACTAGTGCACCTTCTGAAAACTCATTTTGATCTCATGGGAAAACACTGACATTTGATTAAAAGCATTCAGTTCTTTCAACTGATGAGGTTGTGTCCATAGGTGCAAAAATTCCTCGGGTTTTCAGGCAGTGCACCTTTTGTGTCAGGTTTTTGCCTATTTTTGGTTCATTCTTTGTGTTGTTTAAAGGGTGGGCTGAAATTGGTTTCACCAGACGTAAGGGGTTCCAGTACTCAGTGCTGTGTTGTCTTTTGTAATGTTCTCTGCATTTTACATTGTTTTTACTTTGTTATCTTGTGTTGCTCTCTATTTTGTTTCATAATGGAAACATAGCCTTACACAAAAGGGGGATGGTTTTAGAAAAAATCTCCTCTGGGATGTATATTGAAATACTGGGGAAAGATCGGGGGAGATCCACTTACTCAGAAACAGCTCATAGAGTACTGTAATCATTGGTGGCTGATGTACACTTTGGATAAGCAGGGAAAACGCCCAAAGAATGTAACTATAAAGTATAAAACTATTTTACAGTTAAGGTTGTTCTGTAGGAAGGAAGAAAAATGGGATAAGATACCACATGTTGATTTATTTTCTGTGAAATAATTACAGTAGTTGAAAGGACTGCGTATTGATTAGTAAGGATACTAATGTTCTGAGTATGGAAATGAAAACTGGGAACAAGACAGAGAAAGAATTTCTGGTAATAAAGGATGAAATAGGCAAGTGAAAAACAGGAGGGATGAAGGTCAGGAGGAAAAAGAAGCAAAAGCTTTTAGGAATGAAAGTTATAGTCTGGTTGTGGGACAGGCTAGACGAGGAGAAGCTGTATTCCAAGCCCCTCTGAGGCAGGCAGTAGGACCAGAGGGAGAGCTGGTGTGAGTAACAGTGCCTTTATCTGTACCTGGTTTAAAGGCATGGAAAGAAATGACTGGAACATACAGGGAAAATTCTCGTGAATCAACACAGACTTTGGAAATCAAAGGCTAATTTTATGTGGGGTGAAAAATGTAATCACTAAGTTATCCAAGAAAAGGATTAAAAACCTGCATTTGATGAGTGGTGACGTGAAACTGCTTGTAAATATTCTGACTTAGATCCAGTCAGAGAGGGAGACGCTCTGTCACTGGTAAATACATTTATTGGGCAATGAAATCTGGATATTAAAAGGAAGTTACAAAAATTGGAAGAAAGATGGACAACTGGAAAAGGGAATGTCCTCAAAATAAAAGATACAGTGTCCTAGAAAAACTGCATCCAGAGGGAAGGAGAACTCTAGATTTACAGAGTTACTTACTCTGGGACAGGAATCAGCTTGACAGGGACTGGGGGCACACTCGGAAGTATCCCCAGTAGAGCTCCTGGTCACCTTAAAGTTGGGGAATGAGAAAGTAGGTACAAGGGTGGCATGCTCTGTTTTGAATACTTGTAAGGATAAGTTTAGTGGTCAGAGTTTAACAGCTGTTGGTGCCACAGGGGAAAGGGAAACTAGGCCTTTCTTTTGTCTAGTAAAGTGTGGATTTGGACTCATGTGTTTTTACACAAATTTTTGAATATACCAGATTTCCCTATTCCCCTACTGGGAGGAGATCTATTGAGTAAATTAGAAGCCAAAATTAACTTTTAAGGATGGAGACAGAGAGTGCTAGTACCTGAATCAAGGGCCATAGAGGTGAAAATTTTTATGTTACAAGACATCCTGAAAAGGAATGAGGTTTCCCAAGACATAGAGGACACTGTCATACCTTTGGTTTGGGCCAGTGAGGCACCAGGTTGGTCTAAAGCAGCAGAACTTGTGCAGGTAACGCTCAAAGAAAGAACAATTCTGGTAAGGCAAAAACATTACCCCGTGAAACTAGAAGCAAGAAAAGGATTAGAGAAAATAATTGGAAATTTTACACAATATGGATTATTAGTAGAATGTGAATCCCAGTACAATAATCTAAACCCAGGGGGTTGGAACTAGATGATCTTTAAGGTCCCTTCCAACCCAAACCATTCTATGATTCTAATACTCCAATCGTACCTGTAAAGAAACCAGGAACTGGAGAGAACAGGTTGGTATAGGATTTCAGGGCTGTAAATTCAATAGTGCAAGACATGCACCCAGTGGTGGCCAATCTGTACACTTTGCTAAGAGCTTTAAGAGAAAAGCACAAATGGTTTACAGTATTAGATCTTAAGGATGCCTTCTTTTGCATACCTCTAGAGAAAAATAGTCAGGCATTATTTGCCTTTGAGTGGGAAAATCCTACGACAGGATGGAAGATAC